ACTGAGCCACCCAGGCGCCCCATGCTTTTCTAGATTTCTGAGAAGTCTTCCCTGACTACTCTTCCACCTTCACTAGGCTCTAGACGTTCAAGGCCATCTATACACTTCTTCACAGCACTGGCCCTCATCCTGTAATTACGTATCTGTGTGATTATTTCACGAATGTCCGTCTCTGTGTTAGACTCCTGTGCATGCGGTTAGGGACCATCTCTGTTTTGTTCAGCATTCTGTCCCCGGCTTCTACCTGGCACATAATGTGTGCTCAATAAACATTTGCTAAATGTGGACAAATCTCTTATATAATGTTTGCTCTAGTTAACTGAGGGCATATCACTGTTCCTTCCTGTGATGGTTAATTTCATGTGTCAGCTGGACAGAGCTTAGGGATGCCCAGATAGCTGGTAAAACATTATTTCTGGGTGTGTCTGTGAGGGTGTTTCTAGAAGAAATTAACATTTGAAACAGTGGACTGAGTAAAGATGATCCCTCTCACCAAGGCGGGTGGGCATCATCCAGTGCATTGAGGGCCTGAATAGAACAAAAAGGTGCAGGAAGGGCCAATTCGCTCTCTGCTTGAGCTGGGACATCCACGTCTCCTGCCCGTGGACTTTGGCACTCCTGGTTCTCAGGCCTTGGACTGGACTGGGACTTAGATCATCAGCCCCTTGATCCTCAGGCCTTCAGATTCAGACTGAATTACTCCACCAGCTTTCCTGGTTCTCCAGCCTGCAGATGGCAGACTGTGGCACTTCTTGGCCTCCATAATCATGTGAGTGAATTCCTATAATAAATCTCTTCTGGTATATCATCTATTTATCATCTATCTATCTATCATCTTATTGCTTCTTTTCTCGAGAATACTATTATGCTTCTTATGTATGGCTATTTTACTTACAAGAAGCCCACCTCACTTCGGAGTTGATATATTCTAGAGCTTCCCTAGAATAAGAAAATCATCAAATACTCAAATACTGTTGAAGACCAGTGAGAATTGGAGAAAATATGTCAGAGCCAGAAAAACTGTTTACAAAAGATACTAGCACCTATTGTGAGGCCCACTTCGCTGTGATTGAAATAAGCAGATGGCCAGCTATCCTGCACAAATAATGGCAACCACCAGGGAGCAGGGCCTCCTCCAAGGTGAGAGAGAGACGAGTTCTGCCGAGAAAGTATCTGCAGCGGCTCCCGGGTGTGCTGGTCATGACACTGCTCCAAGTCTTGGCTTCCTATTGGTAAAATGCAGACATAATCATAGCACTTAAACCTCATAAGGTTGTTGGGATGATCAGAAGAGATATTATGTGGAAATGGTTTAGTGCAATGCCTAGAATGTAGCCAATACTAGAAAATGTTAGCCGTTATCATGGGTTGGTATTACAGTAGCCTTCCTAATGTGGGTCTTTTAGGATTAGTCTAATGAAAAATATTCTGCCCCCAGACAGGACAGACATTATTTTTTTGTCAGGAAAGCATGGTTGCACATGTGACCTCTATCAAACATCTTAATATTTATATGCTATCTTGTATTTTAATTAATTCAGCAAACACGTATTAAGCGACTACTGCATGCGGTCATTTGGCTTGGCATCAGGGGCATTTACAGATGAATAACAATCTTACAGGGGAGAGAAACATAAATAACCAACTAAAATGTAAAGGCGGAATGAAATAAACACTGTGAAGGCACCCATGAAAATCTACAGGTATGGCAAGGAAGGTCAGATCATTTCTGACTGAGGTGGTGTCTGATTCGACCCGGGAAGCAGAGTGTGATCTCGATGAGCAGAGAAGCAGAGCGTTTCAGGCCATTCCAGGCCTGAGGGACGTCGTGAGAGAGAGAGGAAGCTGGGAGGGCATCTGGGGTCAGGTTATATATAATCTTGAATGTAATGCTAAGAAGTTAGCGTTTTGCTCCATAGGTGCCATGGTTCCAAGTGTATCCTCTATTTGAAGTGGCTCAATATTTTGTCATTTTTTCCCTCAGGTTTGACTTAGGGAAGACTGGCGTGATGTCCACAGTCATTTGATTGGCTGGATTTGCAAGACTAGCCTTCCATTTGCCTCCACCTCTTTAAGGACATTTTCTTCCACTTGGGCTATATTGCCAAAAAGTAAGTGGTCACAGGTAGTTATGACTATTTCTAAACATCCAAGTGTTCTCAGCGATAGGATTAATTATGAAAGCAGCATTAGTATAAATATTGAGATACAAGGAGGTAGCTTTCTTACAAATTCTTGACTCAGATGTTTCTCCACTCTAATCCTACTGAGGTTTGAAGAGTTTCTTCAACTGATTCTGAGGGTTTACCTTTGATATTTTACGTCAAAATTAGGGGACACACAGAGTCCTCCTTTTCAGCTGTCTTCCTACGTGTTGAACAATCTGCTCATTTTCTTCTCCTCCAACTCCTCTGGTAAGAGAATATTTTGATGACTTGGACTTTCTCATTTGGGCAATGGTGCTGTGCTCAGCACTCCAATACCCTAACTTTCTCCCTCTCTTTCACTTCTAGTATAATGAAGAAATGACCTCTCCATCCACAGGGATGTGGCAGATATGACGCATGCATTCAGGTCAGCAGTGCAAATCTCCGACACGGCCATTTTTCTCATCGGGAAAATGTTTGTCAGCCCCTTGACCAACTTATTTGGAGATCTTGGCAACGAAGGGGCTGTTAAGCAAATGGCACAGAAACCTCTGCTTCTCTTTGAAAGAGACTGCTTTTGAAGGGACATGAAACTGCAAAAATACCGGCTTGTATTAGAATATAAATTCACGTTAAATGTGTTTTCAGGAAAAGACGAAAATTGAAGAGAAACCTGAAGTCATTTCAAGACTGATGCTGAGCTATCCTATCACTCATTTCCCTGGAACTTAGGCTGATGAGACAAAGTATCTCTTCCGTTGTCACAATTTTCTCTAGGTTATTTCTGAAAAGGTTTACTCTGGCTTCAGGCATGGGAAAACAGCAACAACAAAACCTTGTTCTCCATGTCACTAAGCCAAAAATTCAATCTCAAGTTGTTTACATTCTCAATTTCCTTAAAATATTGGGATCATATATAGTTCTTTATTCTGCATATTTTCACTTATTATATCAGGGACGTTCCCCAAGTTCTTAAACACTCTTCTAAAATACTTTAATGGCTTTGAAATATTCTTTCAGTTGAGTGTACCATTATTTGTTTAACCAGTCCTCTATTTTTGGGCATACAGTTATTTTTTGTAATTTTTTACCACTAAATAATGCTGTCATAATAATGCCAAATAATATCCATATATATATGTATTTTTTTCTTTCATCTCATCTCTGATCATGTTGTTAACATAAATTTCCTTAAGTATAATCGCTGGGCCAAGGAATAGGAGCACCTTTGAGGACTTCTCTCCACAGACTAGCATGCTAAATTGTTCTATGCCTATTTCCCACGTGTAAAATGTTTGGTGACACTGCTTGAAGGTTTCTATGAGAAAACCCATTATCAAATTGACTGGAAGCAGCAATTTCTGTTATCAAAGTAAATCTATTGTTATCATTATCGGAATGGATTATTTTGTTTGCCTGAACGGAGCCGATCACTGAGTTTCACTTTAAGTTAATTAGATGAACTATCAATTGCAAAGGTTGTGAAACACATGTATTAGGCAACAAGCTAATCGAAGGAAGCAAGGCCCTGCTGCAAGGCCTGTCTTTCTACCACCCACCACCCAGAACAACAGCAGAGGCCGAGAGCAGGGGAGTCAGGGAACGTGGCCTGGCTGGTAGATGTGCCGTTTCTGAGTTCAAAGCCTGACTGTGTACCCTGACTCTGGTAGTTGGGTGACTGGGAGCTAGGCTCCTTTTTCTCCTCTATGTAATGTGGGTAATAGTGCCTCAATTCGAAGGACGTGCAAGGATTAAGTGGGATAAGACACTCACCACAGTACCAGGTGAATGGTAAGCATCCAGGAAGTACTTATTTTTTTATTTTTATTTATTTATTTATTTATTTTTAAAGATTTTATTTATTTATTTGAGACAGAGAGAATGAGAGAGAGAGAGCACATGAGAGGGGGGAGGGTCAGAGGGAGAAGCAGGCTCCCCACCGAGCAGGGAGCCCGATGCAGGACTCGATCCCGGGACTCCAGGATCATGACCTGAGCCGAAGGCAGTCGCTTAACCAACTGAGCCACTCAGGCGCCCAGTACTTATTTTTTTAAATTATTAATTCCAAGCTCCCAATTGCCTATGGAACTTCAGTATTTGGAGAGTAGATGAAATGGGATATAAACCATCTAATTGGGACCAGAAGTTTCTAAACTTCACACAGCTTTCTTAGCCCTCTGTGTTGGTTAAGGCCATTGAAAGTCAAGATCATCGTCATCATCAGCATCATGGTGGTAAACAAGGCAGTAGAGGCCTCAGAGACAAGGGCTCCAGGAGACTAGAGCCTCCCACTCTGCGCTTGGTGATTTTCTTTCTTCCTTTTATTTATTTATTTATTTTTAAGATTTTATTTATTATTTGAGAGACAGAGACAGAGAGAGGGAGCACACATGAGCAGGAGGAAGAGCAGAGGGACAGGGATAAGGCATGCTCCACTTTGAGCATGGAGCCCGACATGGAGCTCCATCTCACAACCCTGAGACCATGATCTGAGCCGAAATCAAGATCGGATGCTTAACTGACTGAGCCACCTGGGTGCCCCTGGTGCTGACTTTCTAGTGTGTGTTCTGGGCCTCAGGCTTCCTGCCGGCCCCACTCTGCCTCTTTGGGCAACAGGTTTGTGGGAGGAAAAATCAGGCCTTATGCTTCTGAGTCTCAGGAGTGCCCCTCTTGGCCCCAGACATATGGGCAGGGCATTTCTGCCAGGGTAAATGTTCTCCACACTTAAGCACAGTATCTGCTCCATCAGAAAGTGGGCTTCGTTTGAATCCATTCCTTCCTTTTGCCGACCACAAGCAAAAAGGAAGCAGCTGCAGAAGTACACACAGACGTCGGGGCCTCGGCAAGATGGCAGCCTGCATGGGGGGGTAGGTATGGGCCCGCTTCAGTGATCTGCTCCACATCTAAACCCTAAGCAGGCAGGAAGCTAGGAATCCTAATTCCAGTCCCAGGTAAGGAGTGGGAAAGAATAATCAGAACTCCATCTGCTTCGCTTTTCAACCAAATCGATGCCATCATCTTTACAGGGACGCAGCAAGCACAGCCCTGACTCTGAGGAACGGAAGAAATGGTTGGCTACGATCTCTCCCCAAAGTGCTCTAAAATCAGGCAGGGGCGTGGGTGTACGGGTCTGTGCCTTGAATCCTTCCTATTTAGCTGCAGGTGTAGAACACATGCAGGGACAAAAAAAAAAAAAACAAAACAAAAAACAAAAAAAACAAAACCAAAAAAACAAAAAAAATACCATAGTTTTAAAATGAATAAAATGGACCAAACATAGGGAAAACTTGGATATTTTATAGTTTTGTCTTTGGGATGTCAGTGGGTGTTAGGAAACTCATAATACTGGCTTACTCCTTCTTAGAACATCAGTAAATGATTCCTCATCATCGAGGTCAGCCACATTTGAACACCCGTACCTTGTGATTCCATGAATATGCTCAGCATCGGGAAAAGGTAAGTTTCACACCGCAGGTTACATGAGGGACCACTGGCAATGGCTGAAAAGATACCCAAAAGTCCAGCTGGGAATCCTGAACTGAACTGGTCCTGCTGAGGCTAGCCCTCCACCCCAAGAGGGGACCTTAACCATCCTTCGCCTGGGTCATACCTCTCGCGGCTCTGCGTGTGAGTGTTGACCTTCCCTGTCCTTGGCCTTTGTGTGTGGGCTCTGTTCAGGTGGGAGGCAGTAAGTAGTACAGGAGTGGGATTTAAGGCATCAGCAGCTCATGAACCCATTGCCCAAGACCTTCACTCGACCTTCTGTTAAATTCATTAAACAAGGAGGTCATTAGACGGACGTGGTTCTAATACCTCGACAGCCTAAGGAAACAAACAAAAACCTAAGTCTGTAAAGGTTTCATGGAGAAATCAAAACCTAAGGACAACCAATCAAAAATAGCCAACTGGGCTTTTCCAAGTAAGTTACAGCCAATCAAATAATGTCCTTGCTTTGCCTCTGCCTTTTCTCTATTCTTTGTAAGTCTTTCCCCTTAGTTCTGTCTGCTGAGCACTCCTAACGATTTCTGGTTTGGTGCTACCTATTTGAATTGATTTTTGCTCAAATAAGTTCTTAAAAAAAATCTTAATATGCCTCAGTTTATCTCTTAACATCTCCTTCACCCTGCTCTACTTTTTCTTTTTTCCATAGCACTTACAACTAACACACTATACACTTTACACTTACTTATTATGTTGAATGTCCGCTAGAACAGAATGTAAGCTGCGCGAGGGCAGGCGTCGTTATCTTTTTGGTACACAGATATTTTAAGCATTTAAAACAAAAGTGGCTGGTACACAACAGGTACTCAATAAATATTTGTTTCATAAATAAGCCATTCCAATTTAGATTCTAGTTAAGCAATTGGTAAGTCCAGGGGCCAAGACCCATTCATCTATTTGAAATAATTACCCCCACCTTCTCACCCCTCAGGCTCAAAGCTGCTCCTGGCATCCACAAAGCAGTTAGCTCTGACATTGGCAAACAATTACTGTCACTTGGTAAAATTGAGGAGGAAGTAAAATATTTACTGAAGCAGAAACTCTGGGGGGCAGTAACCTGGGTTGTTTTGTTTTCAGTTAACTAATGATGCCCATTGACACCCCACACCCACCTCGGTATTTATTTCAGAAGCAAAACAAACAAGTGTATGATTTCGATCTGTGATTCAAGAATATTCAAGGTTTTGGTTAAATCTACACATTGCTCATCGTGCCACTAACTAAAATGAGAAAAGATTCTTGCTTCAATGGCTTTCCATCCTCAGAATGCCTCCTACGTTTGTTTTCAGTACATGCTTAAGAATGGTCTTGAAAGTACGCAAGAGAAGAGAGGACAAAAATAAAATTATACTGAAGCTGGGATCTCTCAGTCTCTTCCAGTTGCTGAGCAGCAGAATTAGGGCAAATATGTATCTTTTTTGTCCAAACCAGGACAAGTGGCATAAACTGGGACATCTTGGGCAGATTGTACATACGGTTGTCTTAGACATACTCAGCTTCTATCACATTCGAAGATGGGAAAGGGCTGGCAAAGATTAGGGCATCTGAAAAGTCAAAAGTTCTGTGGTTTGCATCCTCCTTGGTTTGAATTCAAGGGTCACAGATGTTGATCAAAATATTCACATTGCCAATTTACACGAATTTCACTAGTTTGTAAGTATCAGGCGAGAGTGTTCAATAAATGACCTAGCAAATTAATCTATTTCCCCCCATTAGTTTCCGACTCTTTAGCATGACAATATCAGTTACCCTGTTCAAGCAAAGGCCAGACAAGCTGTGGAGCTGACGCATTCTGATTCCTCCTCCGAGAAGCATCTGTCTACTTACCGGTCCTCGCCATCCCCCACCCCCCCCGCCCCGCCCCTGGCCATCGCACCATTCCCTCCTTGTTCCAACCAGGCCCTTATTTTTCAGTTCTTGCAGTACAATCAGAAGAAGTGAAAGAAGACCCTGATCTTCCAGAGGGACATGGCAGTCTGAAAAGGTAAAGATGTCTTCAACATCATTAGCAGTTCATCTTCTAAAACCTCAGGGCAGCCTCTAGGCAGCCCCTCCTGCAAACCACTCCCCTCCCCCACTCCCCCAGCCACTCTTCTCTTTTGGTGTCGGCTTATCAAATTAATGAAGCCTATCTAGACGGGGAGGAAGTTGGGGCAGAAGACTGGCTTAAGAGCGATTCAAAGCAAGCCCCTCCTTCCCTTTAAAAAAGAAGTACA